GGGGCGAGGCGGAGCCGGACAGGGAGCCGATTTCTGGCGAGGGGAGACCGGCGGAGCTCAACAGTGTCCAGGTGCAGCTCGGTGCGGAGAAAGAGGCCGGCCCGCTTGAGGGGAGCGAGAACGGACACGGCGGAGAGGGGCTGCGGCAGCCTGGGGAGGAGTGCGCTGGGCCTGACCGGGCAGAGGTAGCAGTGGGCACCTCGCAGGCCTCACCATGGCCGCCAGAGCCCTCAGAGATGGACACTGGAGATTGCAGAATGGGGGACACGGCCCTCCTCTCCCCTCAGGAGCAAGAGGAACCTATGCAATTGGGGAAGGACTTGAACTGCCCCTCAGCCCCCTGTCATGGTGGTCCACCGGCCCTAATGGAAGATGGTGGTGAGATGACCTCTTCTGAGGTAGTGCAACCCTCTGATATAGAGGAACCCACATCTGCATCCTTGCAGGCTTCCTCACATATAGAGGCGCAGGAATCTACGTTGTCACCTGTCCAAATCATGACTGAAGAGCCAATTGATGAGAGCAACCCTTCTGCACCATGTTTTGAAGGGCAACCTTCTAGGGAGCCAGCCTTCACGGAGCTGGATGTGGTCGTAGATGGTGAGACGGCCTTGTCAGAGGTAGGGAACCCTCCTGAGCAAAATGGACTGAGGCCTTCTCCTTCATTGCCTACCCCTGATCGAGATGGCCTGAGATCTACATTGTCTCCCATCCCTAATCTAAATGAACTGAGGTCCACATCTTCTCCTACCCCTAACATAGAGGAGCTGAGATCTACATCTCCTACCCCGGATCTAGAGGAACTGAGATCTACATCCTCTCCTACCCCTAACCTAGAGGAACTGAGATCTACATCCTCTCCAACCCCCAATCTAGAGGAACTGAGATCTACATCTTCTCCTACCCCTAACTTAGAGGAACTGAGATCTACATCTTCCCCTACCCCTAACCTAGAGGACCTGAGATCTACATCATCTCCAACCCTCAATCTAGAAGATCTGAGGTCTACATCATCTTCAACCCCCAAGCTAGAGGAACTGAGATCTACATTGTCTCCAACCCCCAATCTAGAGGAACTGAGATCTACATCGTCTCCAACCCCTAATCTAGAGGAACTGAGGTCTACATCGTCTCCAACCCCCAATCTAGAGGAACTGAGGTCTACATCGTCTCCTACCCCTAATCTAGAGGAACTGAGGTCTACATCTTCTCCAACCCCTAATCTAGAGGAACTGAGGTCTACATCGTCTCCAACCCCTAATCTAGAGGAACTGAGATCTCCATCCTCTCCTACCCCTGATCTAGAGGAACTGAGATCTACATCCTCTCATACCCCTGATGTAGAGGAACTGAGACCCACATCTTCCCCTACCCCTGATGTAGAGGAACTGAGATCCACATCTTGCCCTACCCCTGATGTAGAGGAACTGAGATCCACATCTTGCCCTACCCCTGATGTAGAGGAACTGAGATCTACATCGCCACAGCCTCAACCCCTGACCAAGCAGTGCACACCTGATCCAGTGTTTGAAGACATCCAAGTAAAGCGGGAGGTGGACCCTATAGAATTCCCGCAGCCATCCATGCCAGAGAATTTGCGGCAAGAACTTAAAATCCAGGATGCGCAGGAGATGTCGCGACAGGAGGTACAGTGTATAGAGTATTCTGCCCCTGTGGAGTCTATCTTGTATCCATCTGCAGAAGCAGCATCAGAAATACAGGGGGATTGCTCAGCAGAGGTGATGGACATACAAGGACCAATTTGTGAAGAGGTATTGGAGGTAGAGTCTGAACCTATGGAGGTGGTTCACGAACATGAGCCAGCTCCTGAGGTTGTGTGCCGGTTACAACAGCCTGTCTTGGAAGTGATGCAGGACCCTGTCCCTGAAGTTGTGCCACTTATGGAGGCCTCTAGTCATGCGGTGCAAGAGCCCATCTCAGAGTTAACACTTCACGGTCCAGAGCCTGCCTTTACTGTGGTGAGCTCCGAGCTTGATGTGGTTATGCATTTGCCAGAAAAAAATCACATAGAATGCATCGTCCCTGGATCAGTAACACATCTGTCAGATTCTGTCCTTGAGATTAGAGATAGTGATGCCGTTGCCAAGACAGTAGAGACAGTATTCAATTCACTCCATGAACCTAGCAGAGAAAGCCTTGATCTTTCTGAGGCTGAGATGGAGTGTGTGCCTGAACCATTACATAACACAATACAGCATGATCTGAACACAGTCTCTGGAGAGGAAAAAATGCTTGCTTTAGGTGTTGCTGAAATAAACCAAGATGCGCATCCTGTAGCTGAGCAATGTACTGAACTTGGGGTGGAAGTAAAGCTTTTCTTACAACCAGTCTTAAAGACGTTCGAGGAAGGGCCAAATACCAAGGACTTAAGTAGTGGTTTTCCTTTAGTATCTCATGAAACGGAGTTGAGAACACAGGAGACCTCCCTGCATGTAAATTCTCTTTTGGAACCTGGGAACATTCAAACGCCCGATAAAGTGGCTCTTGTGGAAACAGAGACTCGGGCAGACGGTGCTGTCACCACGGAACTCAAAACTTTGGAAAAAGAGCTGGACTCCAACTGCATTCATTTTGATACTGAGCCTAGCATAGAACACGATTCTGAATGCACAGAAATGGCATCCATTGCCGGTGATGTTGAACGTGATCCGTTTTATAGGGACGCTGACAAAGAACATAAATGTGTAGATTTAACGGATCTTAACACGGTCTCTGATCCCGAAATAGGCCAGCAGCAGGTATCCGGGATTGCTTCTGATGCTGCACAGATAAATGACTGTAGTGACTGGTGTCTGGAGGAGCCCACGCCTTCCCCAATTGATCCTGGCATGGAGGCATGTTCAGACAATCATGATCAATGCAAAAGTCCTCTTGCTGTACAGGAGCAAATTGTTGCTGATGGTGGCATTCATGATCTCTCACCTGGTTCAGAAGTTCAGGTTACGCTTGACCACATCATTCAGGATGCGTTGGTTGTTTCCTTCCGCCACGGAGACAGAATCTTCTCAGGGGTTCTAATGGATCTGTCTAAAAGGTATGAATGGTATCAGGAATCTTGCTTTAGGTTTGACATATACACAAAGGCTTATTAATTTGGGCAATCTAGAGTGCTGTAACCCATAACAAAGCTGTTGGCTACTGCACTGTACAGAGCTTTAATAAATAAGTCCAGGGATAGTTTATTTTTGTAATTTTGTAAAAAAAATTTTTTTAACATTCTAATACTCAGTCACTGTACCACACTATGCTAAGGTTTTCTCAGCAAAGTTTACATTATTTGCAGGGAAAGAGTCTTCACTATGATTGTAACAAGGATGTGATTACCTCCTGACAAGCTAGTTTGTCTAACATAACTCATGTTTAGGCCCTGTTCACACTGCTTTCAATGTGTATGATTACATGAGGACTGTCGCTTACAGATGCGGCCGCTGTCACCCTCTTATTAACTTGAATGGGCACTTCCTTTTTCCACAGCACCTTCTGCATAACACAGAAACCAGCCACAGCCGAGAGGTTGTCATTAGGCAGTGGTTGTTTGGACCTGGAGGAACCCTGCTGTAGGACGTGCATAGTAATTGGAAGGGGGGTATTTGTTTATTGCAGTAGCAATGGGGAGCAGTTCACTTAAAGTCACTTTTTTACTTTGCTTTAAATCTTTATTTTTGGTCTACCTAGGCATATTGTAAGCTAACCTACATCTGTCAGACTTTGATCTCATGTAGGTTGGCCCACTTTGGTTTACGCTATGCATGCTAGCATACCTTTGAGACTTCTCATTCACTATGCCACAGATTGCACTGTGCAGGAAATGACTGGATCCCTGGTGTGTTGGTATATGAGTAGCTCAGCTTCCAGGTCAGATTGTGACGCTTTATATTTGGGCCTTAAAGTAGAACTCTGGGAGAAATGATAATTTACACAGTGCACTAGTGTTATTTGAAGAGGGATGCTGCAAAGTATAAAATCATACCTTGCAGCATGCTGGCTCCTACACATAATGCTGATCTTTCGGGTTCTTACAGGGAGCGACAGGAAGCGAGAGATGCCAATCAAGCAGTGAAGTGCTCCAGTTGCATCGCTGCCCTTTCTCATTACTTGCCTATTCCCAAAATGTATTTTTCTCAAAGAATACATGGTGTTCTGTGAGTGGAGAGGGGCTGGGGGTGTGACATCATCTTTTCTCCTCCAATCACAGAATGCCTTGAACTATGTGAGTGCATGGAAGATCAGCATTATGTGTAGGAGCTGGCATGTTTCAAGGTTAGATATTTGTAATTTACAGCATTCCTCTGCACATAACATACCGCTTTTTAATGATCATTTACACACCCAGTATGTTGTGTATATTCTTTCTTTTTCCCCAGAGTTTGCTGGTTCTCTTTTAAAATAAAACATGCTAGGGAAAATAGTGACTTTTAGACAAGCCCTGCTATGATTTTGCTGTAGATTATCTATAGCGTTTGTGTGAACTGGAGCACTTTATAACCAATGCAGGTTATGTCACCTGAGAAACTGCCAAGTTAAGTAAGATCCCTTTACACATTTGCCTGTGCTCATTAATGCGAAAGAATGCTTATCAGACAGCATCTGCACGTGTGTATCTGCCCTTAAGCTGGCCATGCACTGTTCTATTTTTTTTGTTCAACCCGCGGGCCGAACTAAGAAAATAGAACAGATTCCTCCAATGATACAAGTGCTTTGGTCGAGGAATCCCCGCTGTTTCTTTTGTGGTCTGACAGCGGCCGCAGTCAAAATACCCGAACAGAGTCAGCTTACTGGCAGCCGGCTTTGTTCGTTTGAAGATCTTCAGACTGACTCCTTCGATCAGCTGATCGAGGGATGACGCCCGAAAGGGTGCCAAAAGCGGCACATAGTGTATGGCAGGCTTTACAATGTACCAAATATCACCCAACACAGAATCTTCTGTCTGGTCAAATTTTTAAAGAGAACCAGCCATGTTTGTGCCTCTGTAGGAGTCTGACTAGTCTGCCTTACAAAAAAGGGGGTGCAGGATTACTTATAAAAGGTTTATTGTATTTTTTTTAATAACCTTATTTTGTCCAATTTCAGCAGGAGTATCTGGGTAGGTCACCTGAATTCTGATAGTATCTGGCTTGTCAACTGCCTGGCTCCACATATTGTCTCCTTTCTGGATGTATCATGTATGAGGTTAGGTAGTTGGCAGACCGGCAGCTTCTAGACACTAGATGACAGCTTTAATTGCAGCTCATCATCTCTACATTTTTAGGGCTCATTCACACGGGAGTGCACATCCATACAGTAACTTAATCCTCCTGTCCCATCGCACTCCTGACCGGACAAAAACCCAAATCCAACTGGGTGGGTGCGGTGGTGACTACGGATGCTCCGTGAAATGTAGATAGATAAGTAGTCACTCGCACGCCATGAAATTAAAGTCAATGCTGTTTATTGACTGAGATAACACACATCTCCTTAGCGACGTTTCGAGACCATGCACCCCGTCCTCAGGCAAACAGAGGTTGACTTTAATATGGAGTGCAAGTGACTACTTTCATCTATCCGCATCCATACAGTGTGAACGCACAGGGAGAGACCTAGTCCTGGGAGCAACAGGTGCTGTGTGTAATTGCGTGCAGCAACCTGTACCTCCCTATGGGAGGAGGTGGCTCTACCCCAACCCTAAATCTGCACATCCATGCAGGTTTGGGTGCCCGCACTTGGACGCACGCTGTTTGTATTGAAGTGCGGGCACCCGTACCTGCACGAATGTTCAGGACGTTGTACAGGCAGCTGCATGAAATTTCATGCAGCACCAGTCCTGCCCGGGAGCACTGTCCACGCCTGTGTGAATGAGCCCATAATGTCACAATAACCGTACCTTCCTGCAGTAGTTTACCATTCCTGGTTGCTTTGGAAAATTGTTTGATCCACATGTGCTGTATATTAGGAAGGTCTGCATGCTTAAAGGACAACTTTTAAATTAGTGATTTACACCCATCCTCATAGTTAGAGCTGACGTGACATTGAAACTGTCACACGCCGGCTCTATTGATCGGGAAGTGAGCGAACGCATAACGTCGCTCGCTCACTTCCTGATCATCTTCCCGCATAGAGCGGTGACTGTCAGTTACCACTTCCCACAGGGATTCCCCCTTCCCTCTCCGTTCCACCAGTGCTGACTGGAGGAACGGACGAGGAGGGAGTGGGCACAGCTGGCTCTGCCTCGAGATAGGCAGAGCACGCTGTCAATCAGCCAGTTGGGTGGATCTAGACAGTATTGTCGGGTTCTGTCCCGGCTGCGGCCCATTATATATTGAGCTTTGGGTCACGGGAGGAGGTTAGAATATATCCTCCCGTGACCCTAAAGAGAGCTATGGGGAAAAAAGATTACCCCATGGTTCTCTTTTAAAGTGCAACTATATGTACAAGTGATTGAAGTTAAGTATTAAAGTAGCTAAAGCCAAACACTTTTTTTTGTTTGAGTGGTGGATTAGAACCTCTGTCAGGTTTCTGGTGCTATTAGTTTCCACACTGACCAGATTCACCCTTTTCTGTGCTTCCTAGGGACCTTAGAACTGCAAGTGAGGGAAAATCAAACATTTTGAGCGGTTACCAGAACAGGAATAGAGGGGAATTATCGCAATGGAGACACTTTGGCTTTAGATATACTTTTCCTTCATATATGGCTGGCATAAGGTTAGCTGTACATTGGTTTTCTTAGAGGTCATAATCAGTAAAAGTCAGCCATTCTAGGTACATTTTACTTCCCTCAGTTTGCCCATGCTCATCTTGAAGGCTTGGCTAGGGGTAGAAAGGGTAATTGCAAATGTGAATTTTGGCAAAAATCATCTTTACAGGGTATCAAGTAGGACACTAGCAGGATCAGGCTCAATATTTCAGAAGATCAAGGCTGGCGACTTAAAAATATAAGTGCACTTCAAAAGAGAGTGTAGTTATCCTTTTTGCCCCTTTCCCCTGACTTTACTTAATCAAACCCCCCCCCCTCTCCCCCTCCACAGATGCGTACTTACCTAGCTGCAAGTCTTCTATGGGGCTGTGTCCCGAGACCAGAGACGAAGGGAGATGGCCCAGTAGAAGTCTGAGGCTGTTACACTGGATGTAAACAAACACGGGAGGTTGTGGCCATCATGTGGAGGAGGTAAGTATGCATCTGTGGAGGGGAAGGATTGGTGAGGTTAGGCCAGAGAAATTCTTCAGCTTATCATTTCTGATTAGAAGCAACAGAGCAATTCCACACTTATGTCTCTCTAACCTTGCAGGTGCCTGTCAGGAAGTTGACATAACCTGAGGCATGGCCTACCCACTGCTGCTTCTGAATACTGTTGTAGGTTTACTAGTGATAGTTCACACCTCCACTAATATGGTGGCTGCTGCACTGCACGGATGAAAAAGTGGGCCTAGGCCAAAAGAGCAGCTGCAGAATGCCAACTGTAAGTGCTATATTATTTATTTGACTTGTTTCACACTGCGTAAAGGATAAGCTTGCCTGAGTATAGGTCCGCTTTAAAGCGAACCTGTACTTTGCTCATTCAGGGCAAAGTCATAGGTCCGGTTAAAGTGCTCTCTCCATTGTTACTTACTTTCTCTGTGCCTGCTTGCCAGAGTCCAATACACTGTCGTGTACTTCCAAGTATGGGAGAGTACACATGCTTTTCCCCTTTCACAATGCAGCAATAGGTCCCAGAGCAGCTAATAATCATCCCTAATCTGGTCTCTTGCGGATGAAGGGTAGGGTCTTTTAATCCCAAACTTGCACAGAAATTTGGAGGGGACTCAGGATGAGTGAAAAGGAGGCTAGGGAGTAATTGAAAGCCAAGTAGTGCTGTAGAGTTATTGAACAGGTCTGTTGCTTTAAAGGAGAACTATGGGGTTAGGGCTTTTCCCCATAGTTCTCCAGGTTACGGGAGGACACAAACTAGCATCCTCCCATAACCCTAAGCTTAGTATACCACGAGCTACAGCTCGCGGTATACTGAGACGCTGCAGCTGAAGCGGATGCCGACAATTATGTCTGGATCCGCCCAGCTGCGT